GATTTATAATATATCTGGAAGAAACTGACCATACTGAGCTGAAAATGCATGATTAACAAATTATCAGCCGATCAGCTTTGTTGCTAAAATATGTACTGAGAATCTAACTCCTTCTGCTTAGTTTAATTTGGAGCCTACAGGTTTTTTCACACCATAGGAAGTTCCATGGCATTTTGCTAAAAGGTCATTTTAAAGGTCTGTTAAGCAGAGAAAACTTTGGCATCTGCGGCCATGTCTACACTACACAATTATGATGACCTAATGTCAGCATACAGCCACCGCAGTGGTTGAAGCGCTTGTGTGTGTGCACACTTGGCTCCTTGTGTCGGTGGTGTGTGTCATCGCCAGGAGCGCTTGTACCAACTGTATTGCCAGTGTGGGGCATTGTGAAAGCCAGTAACAGTTGACATAAGTATTGCAGTGTCTACACTAACACTGCGTCGACCTAATTACATCGACCGTGACGCTGCTCAGGGAGGTGGTGTTACTAAATCGGCATAGAGAGCATGAATTTAAATGGAGACACTTCCACAGCTAGGTCGACACAAGGCAGCCTACGTCGACCTAACCATGTAGTATAGACCAGGCCTAAATCTAACCTGACTTGCCTGGGTTTCAGCTAGTTTCAGGTTTGCTGGAGTCAGTAGCTCCTCCTAGTGTAAGTGGCAAGAAATAACATTTGGAGATTGTATCATACGCTCATTCCATCCTACCTATCTGATCTCATGTCCAATCTACTCCTCACTGCCCTTTCAAATTTCATCTCTCTCTCTCAGGTTTGATTGACGGTTACCCTGCATTGGAACCAGGGCCGGCTCCAGGGTTTTGGCCGCCCCAAGCAGCCAAAAAAAAAAAAGCTGCGATCGCAATCGTGATCTGCAGCGGCAATTCGGTGGAAGGTCCTTCGCTCCAAGCAGGAGTGAGGGACCGTCTGCCGAGTTGCCGCCGAACAGCTGGACATGCCGCCCCTCTCCGGAGTGGCCGCCCCAAGCACCTGCTTGCCAAGCTGGTACCTGGAGCCGGCCCTGATTGGAACGGTATCATTTTAAACCTGCTTTGCATTGATGTAAATGACAACACAACACTCAAGACAATGGGGAATCAGGCTTAGAGTGCAGAGCGTGCATGTGTTTGGTTGCTTGCATTCGGGGGAACGTATAACCCAGGAGGGATAACAATGGAGGAACTGCTTGAGGCAGGGAATTCAGCAACAGAGAGGGCGTGCTGTGGCCCTAACCAATACCCCAGGGTCACCCGCCCTGCTCGGAAACACGTCTGCTACGTGGCAGAGAGTTCAGCTCCAGAATAGGCCTTAAGAGCCATCAGCGGACCTACAAATAATTTGAAATAGACAATCCATGAAAGACAATCATCCTCAACTTCAAGGGATTCCTGACGAAGATGATGATGAATGTAAAATAAAGAAATCACAAGAATTATCTAGCTATCGCCATACATACATATCTGTCCACGTAGGGTCTTATACTGGTGCCCATCATCATGGTATCTGGGCGCCTGAGGAATGGACCACATCCTGCTGTGCCCCTACAATTCATGTTAGTTTCATGGGAGGTGCAGCACTTCTCAGGATCTGGCTTGTTGAAATCAGCAGGACGGTCTGAGCAGGATGATGACTTGTTCTACGTTGTTCAAATCACCAGCTTGCCCCAACCGGGATGTATGGCCCTCTTCTTACAAAACAAGCGGCTGGAGCTCCACTGATTTACAGCAGCTGAGGATGTGGTCCAAATTATGTTCCAGCATCGCGACTCAGTCCAGTAACAATGCTTACAAAGTGTCCCAACACATGAAGGGCTTAAACAGTAATCTTTTCGGTATGTGCTGGGTGCTCGATGATAGATTAGCCATAATTCTGGATTGTTACCAGTTGAGGGTTTTTTAACACAATGAGGTTTGCAAAAAATAAAGCCCTCTCTGGAACTGTCTCTTCTCCCTTGCCTCTAGGAGCTTAATCCAAAACCCCCTGAAGTCAATGGGAATCTGAATCATCAAAGGCAGAAGTGGAAAAGACCTATTAGATTATCTAGTCCATCTCCCTGAGACCAGGGAAAGTTTGTTCTCTATGGTACATTTTCAAATACTTTGTCTAGTCTAGTTTTAAAAGTCCCCCATGCAATCCAAGAACTTATTGAGGTTTGTAATGTTTGTAAACCATCTATCTCCAGAACAGGTACAGCACACTCTATGGTCATTGATGCTCCCACTACAATAGCAGGGGTCATAATCCAAGTGTCCTGGCCAAATTCCAATTTAAGCCATAACATCTTTGCGTCCTGTTCTAAATTGGTGCACAGTGTTGCTGTGTGCTGTTAAACAGCTGCTGTGTTCCACCCCAGAGGTGGCTGCATATGAATGGTGGAAGAAGCAACTCCTGTATGCCCAGTCTTGCTGTAATTTGTAAAGGGCTTTGGGACTCTTCTGAATGAACAAAACTATAGCAATCTAAAATAATTATCTATCATTTACAGGGAAACCTGGACTATCCAAATGGGAACTGTAATTTCAGCAAATCAATTTCAATCACACTTTTCAAAAAATAAAATTCTGGTTTGGACGACATTTCCAAATTTCAGAGTATGTCTACACTGCTGATGAAAAGCTCAACCGCTAGGAGAGAGCTCCCCTCCATGAGGGGAATAGCTCCCAGCGCTGGGAGCACGGCTCCCAGCACTGTAGCACCGTCTACACTGCCACTTTACAGCGCTGAAACTTGCATCGTTCAGGGGGGTGTTTCTTCACACCCCTAAGCGAAGAAAGTTTCAGCACTGTGTCAGTGTAGACAAGACCTCAGATAATCCAAATTTCAGATAATTGGAGTTGGGATCATCAGAGTTTACTTGTGTTCTGGAGCACTCACCACTGTAGTATTCAAAGCCAACGGTGAAAACTTGTAAGAAGACTCGGTTCTTGCCCTGAAGAACTTGCTATCTAAATACACAATGTACAAATGGAGAATGGAGGAAACCACACAACGAAAAGCAGCATGATCTGGAATGAATAGTCAATTAAATGAATAGGTGGCAAGTTAAAACCTGATCAAAGGAGACACTTCTTCACACAGTGAGTAGGCAGACTGTGGAACCCACTGCTACATGGAGTCGTTAAGGCCAAAAACTTAGCAAGATTCAAAGAAGGATTGGATATTTCTATGGATAACCAGAATATCTAGAGTTACCATAGTTATTGCTAACAACAATTCTGGAAGGGATATTACATCTCATGCTTCAGTGTTTAAGCTGATCTCTGACTAATAGGGTACGTATACACTGGAAAAAAAACCCACCCCACAGCAGCAAGTCTCAGAGCCCTGGTCTACAGGGCTGAAAACAGCTGTGTGGATGTTCCTGCTTGGGATTTGAAACCCATTTACTGCCAGGGTTGGGTTCTGGTTTTGTTTTTATTTTTTTGCAATGTAGACATACCCATAGAGACCAGAATGAGACCTACTGTAAAGGGCACATTATCCCACATCTGCTGCTGTGGGGTTCTTACATCTTCCTCTGAAGTAGCTGGTGCTGGGCGTTACTGGACAGGTGGGCTTCAAGTCTGATCCAATTTGACAAATCCCTATGTTCCTATGGAATGGAAATGTTTAGCACCAGTCATGGTGGTTGCATGGTTTCTGCCTGGATTTTTTAATCTGTATTATTTGTAGCTGAAGTTTCAGTCACTGAATCCATTAGGGCATATCTGCAGGGGAGACTCGAGGTATAGGTCTGCTGGGAACAATGGCACCAGAAGGACAGCAGAAGTTGAAGGGAGGGACAGCCAAATATGAGTGAGTGCTGCTGCGACCTGGGGCACAGGGTCTCAATGCCACTCACATTTGGCCCAGCCACCCCTCTGTCATGCTGATGGGATGGCTGGGCCAAGGGAAGGGATTCTGCCTTTATGCCACCCAATTCTGGTAAGAAGTCAAGGGGGGGGGCCTGCTCACCCCTCTCAATGTACCCTTGCTGCCAAGTTCAGGTTCTCAAAAGTGAGTGGCATGACCCCCCTGTTTAAAAAGTATGAGGCAATGGCTCTTTGGCCCTCCTGTTGCCGGTTCCCATGTCTGGGAGAAGTACATTTCAAGAAAGGACTGAAGTATGGCTAACTGCATCAGGGAGAGGGTTCTAGTCATAGCATTCTCAGGGGACTTTTCATGGGTAAATAACTGGTGCCAGGTGTAATTTTCTAAAGGAAGTAAGTCTTGACACCATGGGAATGAGTCAGTTTCCAGAAACAGTGAAATCCTGACCCCTCTTAAATTTCACAAGTCAGTATTTGGCTATCTAAAGAACACAATAAAAACCAGGAAAGAATTTCAAGGTCCTTTTAATACTAACATGACTAAGAGCAAGAGTCCATGGGATGAAACATGCTCTGACAAAAACGGGAAATCGAGTCGTTCACTGTGCAGTTGTAGCAGTGAGAGTTCGCCTCTTTAGAAGGAGTTTGGTGGTCACTAGGCCTGTAAACAGAAGCCTACCTGGAAATCCAGGTCAGATAAATAGGATCATTAGCATGTCTATAGCACCTTCCATCCAAGGATTGTTCTCCATTTGCCATGTCCCCTGAGGGTAGGAGGAGAACTAATCCTCTTAGTTTGCACAAGGGAGATTCAGGTTAGATATCAGGAAACTTTCGAACTCTAAGGATAGTTAAGCACTGGAATTAGCTTCCAAGGGAGGTTGTGGAATCCCCATCATTGGAAGATTTTAAGAACATTGGAAGTGCTAGACAAACACCTCTCAGGGTGGTCTAGGTATACTTAACTCTGCCTCAGCAGAGGGTGGGGGCAATGGATTAGATGGCGTCTTAAGGTCCCTTCCAGACTCAAATTCCTATTATTTTATGATCTCAAATTAACCCTGACAGCCCCCAATGTCAGGTAGATATTATTGCCCGCATTTTACAGCTATGGAAACTGAGGCACAGAGCAGGGGACAGGACTTGCCCAAAGTTACACTGTGAGTCTGTGGTAGAGATGGGACTAGAACTCACATGGGCAATGTGGGGATAATGGTAAGGCTCCACCTCCCAGGGGGATGAACCCGGTGAATTAAGTAATGTCTGCATAGCACTTGGTCCATGTAAAGTCGAAGTACAATTATTATTCTCTGAGAAGTCTCCTCCAAGATAGACCTGATATCCTAGGCAAAGCACCAACGAGAAGCTGGCATCACCACCTGTGTACAGGGCAGCTAGAATGACCAGCTCACAAGAGGAAATGAACTCGACTTAAAAATAACATCCGTCAGTCAGGGCAGTGTGGGGCCTGCAAGCCCCCTACACAGGGCCTCTTGAAGACAAAGGGCTGCCTGAGAGCACAGGAGCCTGTCTGCATAGAGCTGCCTGCAGGATGCAGATTAGGGGGACCAGATGTCCCAATTTGATAGGGACAGTCCTGGTATTCAGCGCTTTGTCTTGTACAGGCGCCTATTACCCCCCCACCCCCGTCCTGATTTTTCACACTTGCTACCTGGTCACGCTAATGCAGATTGTCGTCCAAGCTAGGAGTTTTCTCCTGATTTGCTTGAGGGCAGCAGATGGAATGTGATTTTCTCATAATTACTATGAGCTGAGATTTACCAGACTTAAATTAGTGTTGAAGAGGTGGAAAGGAACAACCAGAAAAACATCCCGGAGTCTGGATTTTGTAGTATAGAAATATCACTTGACATGTAAAATAACTACAATTGCCCCATGGTTTATTGATTATCACCTGTTACAGGACTGGCCCATCGACAGTCTGATTATACTCTTGTTATGTCGCATTGAAGCAGTCTTCTTATGGAATCAAGATGAGTAGAAATGCTCCTTAATTCACTGGGCCAAGCTACCCTTTCTTTTGTGATTGTTGCTAAAGACGAGAAGATTGGATCTGTCTGAAATCCCCACAGCAGCTGTCATTCCTTCTGTGATGTGCAGCCCTGACAGCCAGCTCTCATGTTTTGCCTGTAGGTGGCAGAAGCTTTCTAATGCCTGCCCACAGAGTCATCCCAAACAGACCTATTATTACCCCGATGTGGGAAATGATAGTATAACCGAGCTGACAGATTGGAAAGGACAGGGGTGTAACGCAATGCTTTGTTTCAAGGCTGGTAGCCTATCTGAGTCACCAGTTAAAATAAAGCGATGCTTCATTTGACAGGGAGCTTTCAAAACAAGGACTCTCCTAGCAGCTGCAACGGTCCCATTCTGTTTTCACAGCAGAGGGTCTTATCGATGGGGTTTCCCTTATAACACTGACTCAGTTACAAATAACGCATGGCATTTCTGACCTCCATAGCGCTTCATGAATGTCCACTAATTAACAATTCCCTCCTGCCCAGGGCCGGCTCCAGGCATCAGCTGAGCAAGCTGGTGCTTGGGGCGGCAGATTGTTGGAGGCGGCATTCTGCCCAATCCTAGGGCGGCACGGCCCCCCCCCCTTTTTTTTGTTCCGCTCCGGCCGCCCTGTAGGGGACGGCGGCGCGGAGAACAAGAGCGCCCTGCAGGGCAGTCCTCTTCCTTCCCTCCCCGCCGACTGGAGCGGAGCCCTCGCGCAGGCAGCAGCGCAGCGGGAGGGGCCGTGTGGCAACACCCCTGCTGTAGCCCTGGCAGCCCTCTTCTCTCTCTCTCCCGCCCGCTCCCTCCGCCTCCCCCCCCAAGCCGGTCCCCCTGCACCCGCGCTCCGGCCGCGCCGCTAGTTTTTTTTTTTTTGCTTTGCCATTCTTTGCTTGGGGCGGCCCAAAAGCCAGAGCCTGCCCTGCTCCTGC